GTCCTGGGGGCCGTTGAGTGTTTGCTCCCTCTGGGGCTGAGCTTACCCCCCATCTCGGTGGGCCCCCCCCCTGTTTTGGGTCCCCCCTGCCCGGGTCCCTTCCTGGCCGTCCTGGAGCCCATCTTTGGAAAGGGGTGTCTCCATCACCTGTGACAGAAAAGCCCAAAAAAAGCTTTTTTCATCATTTTAATGCTGCCCCCCCCAGTCCCTCCTCCTCTGGGTCCATCCCCGCCATCCCGCGCTCACGCTGGAGGCTCCAGCTCTGGGGCCACCACCAGCAGAAGGACATGGACCTGTTGGATGGGGCCAGAGGAGGCCATGGAGGTTCTGGGAGGGCTGGAGCCCCTCTGCTGGGAGGGGGGGCTGAGAGAGTTGGGGGGTTCAGCCTGGAGAAGAGAAGGCTCCAGGTAAAGGCAGACATGGGTCTCACCTTGAAGGCGCCGTCTTCTCCTCGTGGTGGCAATTCCTGAGTCTCCGGGCTCAGCTCTTGCTCCTGAAGTTGGCAGAGAGAACGTTCCCAGAGGGGACGACTTTGGTAGCACCAGGGGGGGGACAACCCCAGGGAAACAACCGAGGAACCCAACCCAAAGGCAGGAGGTGGAGGAAGCTGGAAGAGGAGCCATTTCAAGCCCTGACAGAGAGGAGGAGCACAGGCCACCACCATTCCAAGGGGACACCACCTCTGAGCAGGCCAAGCCAAGGCCAGGCTGAGCTAGGAAGGGGGGGGTCCGGTCCAAACATCCCCCACCCCATGGGCTGGACACTCTGCTGTGCGGGGACACCATAGAATCACTGGTTTGGGTGGGAAGGGCCCTCAAAGACCATCCACTTCCAACCCTTTGCCACGGGCAGGGACATCTTCAACCAGACCAGGTTGCTCAAAGCCTGGTGGGAGGTGTCCCTGCCCAGGGCAGGGGGTTGGAACTGGATGGTCTTTGAGGGCCCTTCCAACTCCAACCATTCCCTGACGATGGTGTGTTTCAGGGTGTGTGTGACACTTGTGGGCCTCTGGCCTTCCTGTCCCCATGTCCTCTCAGACAGGCTGGAGCCTTTTGGACACGGTGATGGGTGATGAGTTGACCCAACGTGACTTCTCATCTCTTTGGGAAGGGCCACAAGCCACAATGGATCTCGGGGACAGCAACTCCTGGACACTGCCACCGCTGCCCTGGTGGCAGGGGACAATGGCTTGTCCCCATGTCCAACCTGCAGCACGGCTATGGCCAAAACCAACGCCAAGATGCCTCCATGTCTTTGTGGTGGCCAAACAGCCAAGATGCCCTCATGGTGACCAAGCAGCAACCAGCCAAGATGCCTTTGTGGTGGCCAAGCAGCGACCAGCCAAGATGCCACCGGGGTGGCCAAGCAGTGACCAGCCAAGATGCCTTCATGGTGGCCAAGCAACGACCAGATGCCTTTGTGGTGGCCAAGCAGTGACCAACCAAGATGCCTTCATGGTGGCCAAACAACGACCAACCAAGATGCCTTCATGGTGACCAAGCAACGACCAGCCAAGGTGCCTTCATGGTGACCAAGCAACGACCAGCCAAGGTGCCTTCATGGTGGCCAAGCAGTGCCCACCCCAGAGCGGAGAAGAGCACGATGGGTGATTCCTGGGCCTTCATCCCATCCTCTTCCCCAAGGGATGACAAACATGAAGCCTCCAACCATAGAAAAGGCACCAGGTGACAGAGCGTTTGTTTTATATATATTTGTATGTATATATATAGAGAGATATTTATATATATATAGATAGAAGTGGGTTCTTCTTCTCTCATGTAAAAATTCAAAATACAGTTTTTACTATTAACAATCCGAAGTGTAAATGTACAAATTTTTACTGCTAAAGCAAAAGGAAAACAAACCCAAAGGAACAAATAAAAAGAAACACACAGAGCAAGAGGAAATTAAAAAAAAAATAAAAAAAAAAGAGGAGAAGGTGGAGCTGGGCCCCGGGGGGGGGACACCCCGAGACACCCCCCACCCCCCCTCCCCCGGGGATGGGACCGCAAGGCAGAGACCACACCGGGATCCAACCCACCGGCGCCAGGTCGGCAAACTTTTATTTCTCTCTTAAAAACCATCGCATCCGCCTCCCCGGGGGGCGAGGAGGGAAGGGGACAGAAGGCTCCAGGTAAAGGCAGACATGGGTCTCACCTTGAAGGCGCCGTCTTCTCCTCGTGGTGGCAATTCCTGAGTCTCCGGGCTCAGCTCTTGCTCCTGAAGTTGGCAGAGAGAACGTTCCCAGAGGGGACGACTTTGGTAGCACCAGGGGGGGGACAACCCCAGGGAAACAACCGAGGTCAGAAAAGCCTGCCCTCCCGGCCAGCACCCCCACTCCCCGGACGGGGGGAGCCCCCCACGTGTCCCCGCCGCCGGTGGGGACGGAAGGCGAACGTGGTGGGGTGACGACGGGGTGTCCCCCCCGGGGGGCTCTCCCAGCAGCTCCCCGGGGCCGCGGCGGTGCCCGGTCCCAGCCTCCGTGGCCTGAGCAGGCCAAGCCAAGGCCAGGCTGAGCTAGGAAGGGGGGGGTCCGGTCCAAACATCCCCCACCCCATGGGCTGGACACTCTGCTGTGCGGGGACACCATAGAATCACTGGTTTGGGTGGGAAGGGCCCTCAAAGACCATCCACTTCCAACCCTTTGCCACGGGCAGGGACATCTTCAACCAGACCAGGTTGCTCAAAGCCTGGTGGGAGGTGTCCCTGCCCAGGGCAGGGGGTTGGAACTGGATGGTCTTTGAGGGCCCTTCCAACTCCAACCATTCCCTGACGATGGTGTGTTTCAGGGTGTGTGTGACACTTGTGGGCCTCTGGCCTTCCTGTCCCCATGTCCTCTCAGACAGGCTGGAGCCTTTTGGACACGGTGATGGGTGATGAGTTGACCCAACGTGACTTCTCATCTCTTTGGGAAGGGCCACAAGCCACAATGGATCTCGGGGACAGCAACTCCTGGACACTGCCACCGCTGCCCTGGTGGCAGGGGACAATGGCTTGTCCCCATGTCCAACCTGCAGCACGGCTATGGCCAAAACCAACGCCAAGATGCCTCCATGTCTTTGTGGTGGCCAAACAGCCAAGATGCCCTCATGGTGACCAAGCAGCAACCAGCCAAGATGCCTTTGTGGTGGCCAAGCAGCGACCAGCCAAGATGCCACCGGGGTGGCCAAGCAGTGACCAGCCAAGATGCCTTCATGGTGGCCAAGCAACGACCAGATGCCTTTGTGGTGGCCAAGCAGTGACCAACCAAGATGCCTTCATGGTGGCCAAACAACGACCAACCAAGATGCCTTCATGGTGACCAAGCAACGACCAGCCAAGGTGCCTTCATGGTGACCAAGCAACGACCAGCCAAGGTGCCTTCATGGTGGCCAAGCAGTGCCCACCCCAGAGCGGAGAAGAGCACGATGGGTGATTCCTGGGCCTTCATCCCATCCTCTTCCCCAAGGGATGACAAACATGAAGCCTCCAACCATAGAAAAGGCACCAGGTGACAGAGCGTTTGTTTTATATATATTTGTATGTATATATATAGAGAGATATTTATATATATATAGATAGAAGTGGGTTCTTCTTCTCTCATGTAAAAATTCAAAATACAGTTTTTACTATTAACAATCCGAAGTGTAAATGTACAAATTTTTACTGCTAAAGCAAAAGGAAAACAACCAACAGCAGATGGTGAGGAGGGGGGGGGGTTTCACGCACAGCCTGGGCCCCCCCCCTCACCCCCCACCTCCCCAAGGCAACGGCCACCAAAGCGGAGGAGCGCTGGGTGGCTGGAGAATCTAAAGCAGATTTCAAAACACCTCATTGAAGCACACACACAAATGAAATCCTCACGGTGCCGGGGGAAGCGAACACGAACCAGAGGGTGTTTAGAGCTTTGTCAACGTCTGTGCGAAGCGAGGAGGCTGCTGACGGCTGGGATCTTCCCTTTAGGTGTGGATTCTTCCTCTCCTTCCAAACCCTTTAGGATATCGCAGGGTCCTTGGGTTTGGGCTGCTCAGTCCCCGACAAGAGGGAGATGGTGGGATCTTCCGAGTACTCGTCTCCGTCCGTGAAATAGGGCCCTTCCCCCAGCTCGAAGAAGATGGGCAGGTCCCCGCTCCCCATGTCCACCGCGCTGGAGTCCACCAGGAAGAGGGGCTGGGCCGTGTAGTGCACCAGCTGCTTTCCTGCAAGGAAGAGAGAGGGGAGGGTTGGCATCATGGAAGGGTTTTTTGGGGGGGAGAGGGAGGGAACCAAAGTGGGGGCAGAGCAACCAGAGCCACGAGGTTTTGCTCTGGAAACCACCAAGGTCAACTGGTTGCAAGGAGAAGGGCTCCTCATCACTCGAGCCAGGAGACACCAGGACCTGGGCAAGCGTTTGGCATGTTGGTGAGGAACAAGACATGGACCTCAGCAGGGTCCATGGACCTCTGCTGGGAGGGGGGCTGAGAGACTGGGGGGGTTCAGCCTGGAGAAGAGAAGGCTCTGCAGAGACCTTGGAGCCCCTTCCAGGCCCTCAAGGGGCTCCAGGAGAGATGGGGAGGGACTCTGGATCAGGGAGGGGAGCCACAGGATGAGGGGGAAGGGTTTTAACCTGAAAAAGGGGAGATTGAGGTGAGATCTGGGGAGGAAATTCTTTCCCCTGAGGGTGGTGAGAGCCTGGCCCAGGTTGGCCAGAGAAGCTGTGGCTGCCCCATCCCTGGAGGGGTTCAAGGGCAGGTTGGAGGGGGCTTGGAGCAACCTGGGCTGGTGGGAGGTGTCCCTGCCCATAGGACCTAGATGGCCTTTAAGGTCCCCTCCCACCCAAACCATTCCGTGACATGCGGTGAGGGACCAGGGGCTCTCCTCTGTCTCCATGGACACACCAGGAGCACAGGGAGGTAGCCCTGACCAGGCTGTGAGACCCAGACCCCAGGGCTGGGGTTGCTGCCACGGAGGAGGAGCAGCTCCATGACAGCCCAGGTGGCTCCACGTGGACAGAAACCCCACCAGGGATGGGACAGGGAGGACCTCAAGCACGTCTGGTCAGACCCTCAGCTCAGGACCCTTGGATCTCCCAGGGTGGGGCTCCCCATCCTCTCTGTGCCACAGCCTGCCCACACCTCCACAGGAAAAAAAACCCCTTTTCTCCTGTTCTGATGGAATTTCAGATGTTCCAGTTTGTGCCACGGCCCCTTGTCCCCTCCCCGGGCGCTGCTGAGGGGAGCCCAGCTCCCTCCTCCTCATCCCCTCCCACCAGGGGTTTGGACACACAGCTGAGACCCCCCTCCATCCCTCACTCCAACGCTCCATCCCTTGGCCAAAGATGCTTTTTTTGGGAGGAAAAACGCTTTTGCTGCCGCCTCCGTTCTCGTGCCGGGGGGTCTCTGGAGCCGAGGGGGGGCAGTACCTGTGTCTGCTGCGCTGGCCTCCGTCTCGGCGGGTTTCTGCTGCTCCTGGGACGAGAGGAGATCCTGGATCTGTGGGGAGAAAGGTTGGGTCAGAGTCCTCACACAGCTCAGGTGTGTGTGTGTGGGGGGGGGGGGGCCC